GTGTGTGTGTGTGTGTGTGTGTGTGTGTGTGTGTGTGTGTGTGTGTGCGTGTGTGTGTGTGTGAGGGGGAGATAAGGCAACAGGTCCGGGAGGGGGAAATCATGGAGCTGGAACAAACTTTCCCAAGGACAAAAGACAAGAAACACAGGTGCGAACGCTCTTTTTTTTTACAGCATGCATGCATGCAAGCTCCACGTTCGTTTTCGTGCACGCGCGGCGACAGCGGAGGAAGCTCAACTTACCTTAAGTCGGTTTGCAGTTTTACCTGGAACACACGCTCCCATACGCGCGCGCGCGCACACACTCCGTCCACTTTGTGCTCCTGCACAACTCTGAAAATCTTAGTGTATCGACTGTCTCATTGGCTGGAATGAAAAGGGTAACCCCTCTCTCTCTCTCCCTCCCTCCCTCCTTCACTCTCTCTCTCTCCCTCCCTCCTAATCGGAAATGTGTGTGTGATCCCCCAGACGTCCAGTCACGAATACCCCAGATGCAGTGTGTTGGGGGGGTTGCAGCAGAGCAGTATGCATTGCATACTTTCTCTATTAAAGCATGCTTCAAGACGAACGAGGGGCAGGAGGGTTGAAAACAGAGGACCCCGCCCCGAGCAGCTCACCGGACCACCCACTTGAGAGGGAGGAAAAGGGAGAGAAAAAAAGAGAGACGGGCATTTAGACTGGAGGGTCTGGTTCCGGGGGGTTCTCAGAGTGGGGGTCTGAAAGGAAGGAGGAGGAGGAGAGTGTCTGGGAAGTTCCCCAAAGAAGGGAGGAAAAACGGTTCAGTTTGCTCCTGCAGGAATCATGAGGGTCTGCACAGCTTCAGGCAGAGGTTTCCCTGCTGTTATCTCCCCCACCCACCCACCCACACTGGGGACAGATCCACGGGACCATAAACTCTGCAGTCACTCCTTGCTGTGCATTTGTGGACCATCTGAACCCTGGTTCTGGTTCGTGCCTCGTGCAAACAGAAAACACACACTCGTGCATGCTCATGAAGAAACAGCAGGACATTCTTTTGAATTACTATTAATTATTTTTAATTATACTATTACTAGATAAATAATTAGGCTGCAAAACCCAGCTTCAGGTTCTGACCCAGAAAATACCACCAGCAATGACTTGTGAGCCCAACCATTGCTGTTGGGATGCTGATAATGAGACAAAAAGCAATTAAGTCATTAAAAAATAATAATTTTGGTTTTGTTATTTAGAACAATAATGGCAAATTTTATTTGATTTCTGGAAATCATATTAAGATGTTGTTTTATGGCCCACAGAGAGGCCCCAAACACCAGCTTTGGGATTTTTTCATTCAACCTTTATTTAGACAGGTAAATCCCATTGAGCCTCGAGGACTCATTTACAAGAGAGACCTGATTTCAACAAAGAATGATGACAATAATGGATAACAGCGACAACAATAAACAGTTATAAAAAGCCATACAATTTTTAAAAAAATTTTTTACAAATAGGATGGCTAAAAAAAGAAAAGTAACAAAAAACAGCTAGATTCTAAGGCGAATGTAGAAAACTAAAAACAGGAACATTTCTGCATTGGTCCCTGCCAGGAGTCCAACAGATGCTTAAAGCCACTTAGAGAGGTCAAGGTCGAGAGCTTCAAATCTTTTTGCAAGATATTCCAGGAAACAGGAGCGGAATAGGAGAAGGCCCTTTTGCCTAGTTCAGTCCGCACTGAGGGAACACTGCAGGTAATAATGTCCTGAGAGCGCACGCTGTAGCTGCACTCACATTGTGACATGTAGGAGGAGATGTATGAAGGCAGCAGACCAAGAAGTGATTTAAAGATGAAAATGTACCAGTGAAAAAGTCTGCATGAAGTTAATGATGTCCAGTTAACCAGTGAATACAGGGTGCAGTGGTGGGTACGATAATCACAGCCAGTTATGAATCTTAGTGCACCATGATAGACAGCATCCAACATCTGCAGGGTTCTTGTAGGAGCGTTTATGTAAATAATGTGACCCTAATCAATGGAGGGAAGGAAAGCTACAGATACAAGGTGTTTTCTAGCATTCAGGGTTAGACAGGATCTGTTTCTGAAAAAGAAACACAGTTTAACGTTCAGTTTCTTTACTAGGTTTTCCACATGGAGCTTAAAAGAGAGATGCAAGTCGACCAAGATACCCAAATATTTATAGGAATCAACAAACTCAATGGGGACACCATTTGAGGATAAAATCTGAGGAAGAACTGCTGGGACCAACTTCCTATTTGAAAAAAGCATCCCTTTGGTTTTGTCGGCATTTAGGACAAGTTTGAGGCGGAACAAATCTGTCTGGATGTAGTTGAATGCAGATTTCAAAAGCTGGAAAGCCTTAGCAACTGTTTTAGCTCGACAATAAACAACTGTGTCATCAGCATAGAAATGTATGGATGCATCAGGGATGTTTTTACCAACATTACTTACATAGATTGTAAAGAGAGTGAGTCCTAAGACTGATCCTTGTGGTACACCATTGTTGACTGTTAAATAACTGGAGGAAGTACCATTATGTTGAACACATTGTCTCCAGTCTGAGAGATAGTTAGAGAACCAACCAATGGTGTGTTCTGAGAAACCGATTTCAGAGAGCGTATGTCACAAGATGTTCTGATCCACAGTGTCAAAAGCTTTAGACAGGTCTAAGAAAAGTGCAGCACAATAATCCTTAGCATCCAGTGCTTCAACAACATCATTAAGAACCTTCAGTGAAGCAGTGGTTGTGCTGTGTTGTTTCCTGTAACCAGATTGATGTGGAGGTAAGATGTTAAATGAGTCCAGGTTATTTTTGATTTGAGAGTTTATCAGTTTTTCTAGAACCTTGGCTAAAATGCAGAGTTTAGAGATTGGTCGATAGTTGTTCAGTGAGGTGGGGTCACCTCCCTTCAGCAAAGGAAGAACAAAGGCTGTTTTCCAAGTGTCTGGAATGGAGTTTTGTCTTATGGAGAGATTGAAGATGTGGGTCACAGGGACTGTGATGATATGAGCGGCCAGCCTTAAAAAATAAGGTGGAAGTTCATCTGGACCTGCAGATTTTTTAGGATCAAGATCTTTTAACAGTTTATTGACCTCACTGACTGAGAATGGAGAAAAAGAGAAGGTGTGATTAACTGAGGATTGTCTTGTAGGAGGAATTTGATTTGTAGAAGTTTGATTATTAAGTGAAGTGGCTGATCTTCTGTTAGTAACTGTGTCAAATAAAGAACTAGAAGCAACAAAATATTTGTTGAAACAGTTCAGGATCTCATGCTTATTTGACACAGGAACAGAGTTAACGAGAAGTTGTGATGGGAGGTCAGATGATTGGGGGGTGCCTGAGAGAGATTTGATGGTTTTCTAGAATCTGTTGGGGTCATTTAGATTTTTGGAGGTCTGAGATAAAAAAAAAAAAATAGTTGCGTTTTGCTGCTTTGACAGCAGTTGTGCATTTATTCCTCATCTGTCGAAAACTCAACCAATCAGTGTCTGAGCCAGATTTTCTCGCTGTGGCCCAAAGATGGTCTCTCCTGTGCAGGAGGTCAGCTAGCTCTGGAGTAAACCAGGGGCTGTCTCGTTCCTTTATTCTGAACTGATGAAAAGGAGCATGTTTGTTCACAAAATAAATGAAACCATTATGAAAATAGTTCCAAGCAGAGTTCACGTCATCATTTAATAGAATACGATGCCAGTCAAAGTGAGACAGATCCCAGAGGAATGACTGTTCACAAAAACGTTTCAGATCACTTTTTTGAATTAATCTGGGCTTAGAAGGTGGAAGTTTAATATCTCTAAGAGTCACTTTCACACAATGATCACTCAAAATGTTGGCAAATACACTTGTACCAGGGAATTTGAGAGGCATATTTGTTAGAAACAGCTCTAAGATGGAGGATTTTTCAGGCCGGTTTTTGTTTGGTCTAGTGGGACCAAGGAGTTTACAGCATTAAAGAAAAATACAGTGACCCCGCGACCCATAAAGGACGAAGAAGGTAAAGATAATTCAGCTCAGTTCAATTCAGTTAATTTATAAAGCACCAAATCACAACAGAAGTCGTCTCGGGGCACTGTAAACATTCATATACATAAAAATCAGTTAATATTGTTATTTATCTAAGGATCCAGCATACTGCTTTGAGTTTTCACTTCCTCGCAGACTCCCATCTTAAGCGAGCACAGAGGCAACAGTGGAAAGGAAAAACTCCCTCGAAGAAACCTCCAGCAGAACCAGGCTCAGGACAAGTGGACATCTGCTAATGGATGGATGGACAATATACTGATTTGTTTCTTACCAAGTGAACCAACATTGACCTGTTTTCTTTATAATTTAGATTGCAAACATCAAACATCTGTTTGTAAGTTACATCCATGAGCACATTGTGTACATCTGTACATGCAAAGTTGGTTTTGTGTATAAAGTGATTTGAAAGTAAGCTGAGCAACAAGCAAAACAATGACATTTATCCCAAAAAGAATAAAAGTGCAGCACTTGATTGTGAGCTGTGTTTACAAATTAATTAATTATTAAAACTTTCATTAAACTACTTTTGATTGTAAAATGGTGCCAAAAATGCCCCTTTTTTTGTTGCTATTTTGCATGTAAAACATTGCACTTTGCAGTGTTTTAATTGTTTTAAAGGATTTTCATCAAAGCATGTTTTCATATTTTTCCACAGTAGAATAGAAACTTACGATCCAAAATTCCTGTGGAGAGGACCAAAATAAAAGCTTTCACTTTTTTTTTCTTGGCTCTATATCCATAGTGTAACTACCAAAATTAATAACACTATTTATTTTAATTTGTTCTCTTTATTTTTTTTAATTGAAACAATTTAGGGAAACTTAAAAATAGAGATGAAAAGGTTGGAACCACATCATGCAGATCTTTTCATGGAGTCATGTCAGGCGAGCGTTACTGGCATGATACCAGAATATAACACTTCAGGTAACAAAGAAGAGCAGTTTTTTATTTTTATTTTATGCAACTCGGACAATCCAGAGAAAGCACAATATTACACAACACGAGCGCACAGAGCAGTGTTCAACTCATCAAAACTGTTTTCTCCGTTTTTCACAAGTTTCATAAAACATTCTAACAAGCAAGCGTTTGCATGTTTTTTTGCAGCATTTATTACAATTTTAGTCAGTTTTCCCAGAAGTTTTTGACAAATGTTACAGAGAACTCCTTGTCATAAATGAATTTGATTAATCATCTTTTAGGAGTATTACTCATTGAAAGTGAAGAGAGTAACTGTCAGTATTTCACCTTCTGTTTCTGCAAAAATAAAACACGTTTGAATAAGCAAAAATGAAATATTAGTGTAAAAATCAACAAGAGAAAGACAGTGGGGGATAAAGGTAGAGAGGCAGGGGGGAGGGTATTGGGGGGGGGGGGGCATCCTAGTGTGCATATGAGTGAGTTCAGTGTCCCTCTGCAGGCTGACATTCGGCTGGACTCTGATCTTGAGGTTTATTTAAGCTGAATTCCGTGGGCTCATCAGGACCCGGTTACAAAAATCCTCCTATAGAACAAGAAAGAATGTGCAGCGAATACAGTTCTGCATAAGGCACAAAGGCATGTCTTTAGAGGTGGGGGCAGGCATCAAAAGACAGGCAGAGGAGGGATTTCTTTTAGAGGCTGGGGGCAAAGAATGTATTTTGGAGCTCCATTCAATGCCAAGGCGAAGCAGGGGAGGCGCTCAGTTTGTGCTAATGGGCGCATTTACGGGGGATGTTCGGCTCTTTAAAGCCCTCTGTAAACTTTCTGTCATTGGAGGTTAACTGGCTGCTGTTCTGTGGGGGTGTAATTTATTTAATACTTGTTTTAAACACTTTTAGTTGTTAATTGTCAGGGCAAACTTTTACTATGAGCAGTGATGCTCAGCAGCAAGTTATAAGCATTTAAAGCTCTAAACGTAGTAAATAATAAACATAAACAGGAAAAATGGGTGTATTTATCCAGAAAATGTCCTCCTAACTGATGATATGCATTCTTATATATATATATATATATATATATATATATATATATATATATATAT